ATTGTCGAACTCGAACTTTGAGGAACAATTAAACGAACGAGTTCGAACACAATTTTTTGCTCGAAAAATAAACGAACGAAGACGAACACTGTTCGAACGTAAACGAACACGAGCTCGAACAGTCTAAGCTCGGTTCGGTTCGATTTGTTTACAACACTAATCGGGCCGTTGCCATATCAGGGGCTTTTTCATTTTAAACCAAACAACTTAAACTTGATGATATTAGGGTTGAGCACGGTTCGGTTCTGTGCGGAGATCCAGAAATCTCCGGAACCGAACCGAACCGAATTTCGGAGATTCCAACAACTGGATCTCCGGAACCGAACCGGTTCCAATAAATCTCTGTTCCGAACCGAATCGGACTTCGGTTTGGTTCGGTTCAGTTTGGAGATTCGGTTCTAATGGGTCGGTTCGGTACGGATCAGAGATTTCGGAGATTTTTTTTTTTTTAATTTTAAAAATTATCCTAATTGCATGTTAGTATCATGGATGAAAGAAAAACATAAATCTCTCTTAATTTCAAAAGATATTTCGTCAATAATAGTAAGAATAGGTGGTTAATTTTTTTTATTTATAAAAAAAGTGAGAAATATCTTTTAGTTGCAAAATATCATAATTTAATTTGAAAGATTTATATGCTAAATGTTTATATGCCAAAAAATTTGCAAGTGATAAGACGTACCCATGAACAATAATCAATTTAAAGATAGTTACTTGTTAAATAAAATGATATTTTAGAAATATATTATGTCCAAATAAATTAATCTCTTTTGATATCGTGACATTCAGATATAGTACAAATAAAGTTTGTTTTCGAAAAGTGAAGATATTTAATTTTATTAAGTTATAATTAATTTTATTAATAAAATAATCGGTATATCCGTTCTTAATCCAATATTATGATTAAAATATCTATCAATTTATTTTTATCTTAGAATATATCACCTTTAAAAAAATAATTCTCTCCAAGTTTTGTGAAAGACTTACTTCATAAAGGCCGGTTTTCAAATATTCGATATTTAAATTTTATTAAGATATAAATAATGGTTTTTTCCTAATAAAATATTTGACATGGCTATCAACTTTTTTAATAGGAAGAGTATATTAATTTAATTTTATTTTCAAAAAATTGATTCGAAAATGAGATTTTAGATTTAATAGTGTCTCATAAGTAGTACCAAAATAAAAATATTTTTTTTTTTCAATTATTAAATTCTGTTAACATTAAATAGGATATTTTTTCGCAACTCAATTTGAAATATAACTTATGATAGTTTTATGGACATAGACATAACGTATATAGATTTTATTTGCAATTCAATTTTAAATACAATTATGTACAAAGATGAATAAAATAAATATGATAAAATATTATATATATATATATATATATATATATTGATTTTATGAATTGGAATCAGTTCTTGTTTGATTCCTCAGGTCGGTACGGTTATTTTCGGTTCGGTTCGGTTTGGTTCTCGATACGGATATTTTATAAATTTCCAGAACCGTACGAAAAAAAATTCGGTTCGGTTCAGTTCGGAGATAGTCAAACGAATATTTTTCAGTTCGGGATGAATTCAGTTCGGTTACTAGTAGAAAAAACAGTTTTTATAACGGGTAAAAAAGACTTTTTATAACGGTTTTTAGTATGTTGTAGTTTCAGTCTATGAGTATGGACTTTCTATGACGGTTGTGACCCGTTATAAAATCACTGGCATTTATAACGGGTTAATGAAGACCCGTTATAAATATCTCATTTACTTGTTATAGACTACACTATTTTATAAATAGAGATGTTAAACGGGCTAGCCCTAGCGGGCTTCGGGCTAAACGATTCGGGCCTAAAAAGCCCGAATTTAAACGGGCTACCAAAAAAAGGACCTAACCCTAAACCTAGCGGGCTTTGGGCTAAACGGGCTATACGGGTTAATAACAATAACAACAACAATAATAATAATAATAATAATAATAAATTACAACACCTAGTTAACGGTTTTTTTCAACGGTTATTTACTATTTACCACTATATATATATACAACTACACTTCATATATGAACACACATTACAAAGTCTTAATCCTCACTTAATATAATTTGAAAACGTGCTGAGCCTAAATGGCTGCTTCGCACGCTTCGGAAGCTTACTTGGTAACACTACATGCTTCGGCTTTTGGTTCGGATAAAAATTAATACAATTATATTCCAAAATAAACCAAAATAAATAGAATTCTTATCTCCTCCAACTATACGGTTTAAGAATCCTATACCAATCAAATGTTAAGAATCTTATATCAATAAGAATCCTATATCAATAAGTCCTCTTAAACTTTTAATTGACCTTCGTGTAAATTAACGTGCTGAGCCTAAATGGCTGCTTCGCACGCTTCGGAAGCTTACTTGGTAACACTACATGCTTCGGCTTTGGGTTCGGATAAAAATTAATACAATTATATTCCAAAATAAACCAAAATAAATAGAATCTTATCTCCTCCGGTTTAAGAATCCTATACCAATCAAATGTTAAGAATCTTATATCAATAAGAATCCTATATCAATAAGTCCTCTTAAACTGTTAATTGACCTTCGTGTAAATTGTATATATCGTAATTTTACTCCGGCATCTATCATAGGTGATTCACAATATTCTTTTTTTTTTTTTTTTTTTGGTTCGTGAAGCTGTAGAAGCTAATTTATTGTTTATAGGATCGACTTCTCGAAGGCTAACAGTTTTGAGAAACTGGGTGCATTGTTTGACAGAAATATCTATTATATTGGAGGTTTGTGGAAGTTGTCTCATTACCAATATTCCATTTATTTACAATATTGATTTTTGTAGAAAATAGGATTTGGTATGTTTTTCGTAATTTTTCCCATTTTTTTACATATTATCTAGCAAATGCATTTACAAGAATGTGATCAAATATATATGAGTACTCTGGAGAACTGCAGGTGCCAATATTTAGGGAAACTATACTGAATACTACAAATGTAATTGTGTAAGATTTCCTTATTCTGAGTTCATTATAATTCACAAAAATGATGAAATCTAAAGGTCTTTATTAAGAGGAAAAAAAACAAAGTACTTCCATAAATAGATGAGAAATGCTTACTTGAAAACAGATATGGATAGTAAAATCACATGTATTCTGATTATTGTGCATTCTGATTATTAAATAAGAACCGCTTCTTTGGGGATCTGCGGGGAAAAAAAGTCTACTTATATTTTAGTTATGCTACAAAAATCGCTTTATTTAGTAACTAAATGAAACCAAAATGATTTACATTTCCATTGTGAAAAACCTGATACATTATAAAATATATAAAAATATATGTGTAGTATGTAAATATGCGATTTATTTGGTTAATTGCATTTCATCACTTTTTTTTTTCTTTTTTTGCTAATTTCTTTAGTAGTGCTTATGCTTTTGGGAAAGGGTTAATTCGTGATGGGACGGAATTTATTACCTTTCCAGTTAAGTATCAGTGTGTGGTATTTCAACTCAACTGCTATTCACCGCCCCCTTTTACTTGTCACCGCCCCCCCCAATTACTCTTTTGCCCTTAACCTTTTTTTGGATTTCATCTCTCTAAACTTTATCTCTCTAAATTTTCCGAACTTCAACGAACGATTCGAGCATCAAAAAAAATCCGAAAAAATGTCGAAAAAATTCTACGGCCTCGGCAAAGGATTCTTCTCCGACAAGGTATTTTTTTTTTTTTTTTTTTGAGCCGAACTATTTTTAAAAAATTTTTTGAAAACCTGTTGAACCGTCCGGCCGGCGGTTCCGG